TTCTAACCCAAATAGACCTCAGCCTGGAGGTATGGAGAAATCTGCCACAGAGGGAACAAGACTCAGTGTCCCACGTCAGGCTGAGGTCCAGGAGATGATGCCACCTCAAAAAGCCTGAGCAAGACAACAAACATCAGCTTTCCCTGAGGAACTCATACCAGCAACCAGCAGTGCTGGTACTTTCAAGGGGAGAAATTACATCCAGACGTTGTGTTTTATAGGAAAACAATCCACCCTCCTTGAACTTTTTTCAAATTCTTCTACGATTTTGGCCCGCGCACCATCATTGTGGGATTATTACACAATCCCTGAGTGACGTTCTGAGATATCTGCCTTTTCGACTCGCTGCCCGGACACTCAGCCGGGTCTCACCTCATCCCTACGTGTGAGAAACAGGGGCTGGCTTGAAACAACGAGGAAAATGCATTTCTATCCAGGTGCTCTTCAGAAAACGGGGCTCAGGTGCTCTCCTTGGGGTCATGAGCCTCTGGGGAGAGCGTGAGGAGGGGGGACACCTCCCCAGGACACTTGTGGCCACTGTGATTTGCAAATCTGAGTCTCTGAATGGGAAGAGGCCACGTTACACTGGAGAGACCACTGGGATTTATGGCTGTCGCAGCATCCAACGCTGAGGACACGACAAATGCCTAAAAGCCACCCTGCCCATCGGTGACTGCACCGGGGAGAAGGTGTGACTCCTCAACATCAGCTGTGGCTACAGCACTAGGGATGGGAGAAGCTTCAAAGCTGAAAAAGTTATAAAAAATAAAAAGCACATCAAGGAATCACAAATAAAGTTTGAAGCCTTTACCTTCAGAGAAGCCAATTTATAAGTTATATATTTACAGAAGTGTATTCTGCTTCTTTATCTCCCCCTTATGTCTATTTTCCCGCTTTCTGCTGAGATGGTTTCTCCTCAAACCCCCCCAAAAGATGCCTTTCCTTCGTACAACCACTTGATAGACCCACATCCCTGATCCCCCACAGCTTGTTTCTTCCATCTATCACTAAAGGAAAGGGAAAGAAAGGAATTAAACACAGTAAGCTGAGAATAACTGACTACTGACTACCTGGGTGAGCTTGAGGATAATCACGGACTTTGTTTCTCGATCACAGCCTGTATTAGCAAAAAAACCCTCAAGACAAACAGCAAGAGAACTGCTTTGGGGGAGACCCAATCTTTTCCCTGGTTTTCACGGATTCCATCGACTCGCAGAACATTCACTTTCACCACCAGGAATAAGAAGGAGCTCAGAGACTCGGGCAGAACCCTGCTTCTGAAGCCAAGATCATCAGGATCTAAGACTTAATTTAAAGAGATGTATCTATCCAGACCACGCTTCCTCAGCTCTTGCCAAGCTGTCTACTTATCAATAGCATAAAGCAGTTGAAAAAAATAATCTATTTATCAGACTGGCAGAGCGACTGGGGAATAAGGTTTAGCTGGAAGCTGGACCTCAGCGCTCCGGTGTCCAGGCTATCGCAGCGCTCTCCCCACACACCTCACCCCACAGCAGCCACGCAGCCAATAAAGGCCATCGATCACTCAGTGAAGGCAGCAGGACATTGCACCTCTCACACAGGTCATAACACGTACCCGGGCAGCCTCTGCAAAGCACCTTCCCCCAGGACACGGCTTCCTCACATACAAAACCAGTGCATCCATCTCCCGTTCCTACCTCTGCAGCCTCAACTCCAGTAGCAGCTCCCTTGTCCCCAGCTGGGCCAGGAGACCCCGGGGTAACGGGACAAGATGGGGACGGGGGGATGGAGAGGAACCCTGCCGAGAAGGACTCGTGAGTGCTGGGGGGAGGAAAAGCTGGGGATGGAGAGCAACCCTGCCGAGAAGGACTTGTGAGTGCTGGGAGGTGGAAAAGCTGGCCATGGGCTGGCAACATGTGCTGGCAGCCCAGAAAGCCCCCTGCACCCTGGGCTGTGTCCCCAGCAGCGTGGCCAGCAGGGCAAGGGGAGGAGGTTCTGCCCCTCTGGGGAGACACCCCCTTTGGCCAGCAGGGCAAGGGGGGAGATTCTGCCCCTTTGGGGAAACACCCCTTCCCCAGTGCTGCCTCCACCTCTGAGGCCACCAGCATCAGAAGGACATGGACCTGTTGGATGGGGCCAGAGGAGGCCACAGAGATGCTGGGAGGGCTGGAGCCCCTCTGCTGGGAGGGGGGGCTGAGAGAGTTGGGGGGGTTCAGCCTGGAGAAGAGAAGGCTCCGGGGAGACCTTAGAGCCCCTTCCAGTCCCTCAAGGGGCTCCAGGAAAGCTGGGGAGGGACTCTGGATCAGGGAGGGGAGTCATAGGAGGAGGGGGAAGGGTTTTTAAACTGAAAAAGGGGAGATTGAGATGAGATCCGGGGAGGAAATTCTTCCCCCTGAGGGTGGTGAGAGCCTGGCCCAGGTTGCCCAGAGAAGCTGTGGCTGCCCCATCCTTGGAGGGGATGTTCAAGGCCAGGTTGGAGGGGGCTTGGAGCAACCTGCTCTGGTGGGAGGTGTCCCTGCCCAGGGCAGGGGGGTGGCACTGGATGGCCTGTAAAGGTCTCTTCCCACCCAAACCATTCTATGGTTCTATGTTACAAACCAAAATGGTCCCAATGAGCAACAACCCCAAAGAAGAGGGGGCATCAAACTGTGCCAAGGGAGGGAAATAAGGCTCCAACCTTAACCCCAGCACCTCTTTCCTTCTCTGCTCAGGACACATGGTGAAATCTTTTGGGCAGGAGAAACGTAAAGATGTAGGCGACTTCCTCTACATGCCAACATAAGCAAAGTATTTGCAAAAGCACACTGATTTGCATGTAGATCCTAATTCTATGGATGTTACTCCACACTCCCAGTGGCACAGCTTAATTCAAACGCCGCCCAAACAGAGAATCTGGCTGCGTTCAACACAGGCCCAAAGTTCTAAAAGAACTGCCCAAAAAATCTCTTGCACCCCTTCCCAGGAAGAAGACACTGCAGTTCCCAAAGGCATGGGGGACGGGGTAATGTCCTCTGTCTCCTGCCCCTAAATCCCAGAATGATGTGGGGTGGGAAGGGACCTCTGGAGATCATCTCCTCCAACCCCCCACCCAGAGCAGGGGCACCCCCACAGAATCCCAGAATGATGTGGGGTGGGAAGGGACCTCTGGAGATCATCTCCTCCAACCCCCACCCAGAGCAGGGGCACCCAGAGCAGGTCCCACAGGAACGGGTCCAGGGGGGTGGGAATGTCTCCAGAGAAGGAGACTCCAGCCCCTCTCTGGGCAGCCTCTGCCAGGGCTCTGCCACCCTCACCCCAAACAAGCTCCTCCTCAGCTTGAGGTGGAACTTCCCCTGTCCCAGTTGGGGCCCGGTCCCTCTCCTCCTGGCCCTGGGCACCACTGCAAAAAGCCTGGCCCCATCCTCCTGACACCCCCCCTTCCAGTCTTTAGAGGCCTTGAGCAGACCCCCCCTCAGCCTTCTCTTCTCCACACTCAACAGCCCCAAGTCCCTCAGCCTTTCCTCAGCACAGAGATGCTCCAGGCCCAAAAGCAGCTTTGGAGCCCTTTGCTGTCCCCTCTCCAGCAGTTCCCTGTCCTTCTGGAACTGGGGAGCCCACAACTGGTCCCAGAGCTCCAGCTGGGGCCTCCCCAGGGCAGAGCAGAGGGGGTGGGTGACCTCCCTCCACCTGCTGCTCACACTCTTCCTGATGCCCCCCCAGCACAGACGCGATTTCTTGCGGTGTTTCAGCCACACAGGAAACGAACACAGACTTATTGAACACGAGGCGTTAAATCTCCGTGTGCCCCAGCCAGAGGACGAGGCGCCTGCTCAGGGGCGATGACTTGCAAAGCAAAGAGCAATGCTCTATCTGCAGCAAACAGACAGCGCAGGTCTTTCATCTCGCTCCTGCCACAGGGAGCCAGATAAAGCTGACAACTCCAGCCAGCGGAGAGCAACCACGATCAAGGGTTAGGGAAAAACATTCCCAGAGCCTTTATGCTTTTATTTTGGTCCTTATCTCTCACGTTTTATAACCCTGAGCAGCAGTTCCACTCCTCTTAAGCTCCTCACGCCCACGTGAAGTCAAACCTCTCCATGAGAGTCCTTTTTCACTCTTGACCGCTATTTCCAGGCTTCTCTCCCCTCAGCGGCCTTGGTCTGAGCTGTGGTCGACACAGGAGAATATTCACAAGGGCTTCTTTCTGCTCAACCCTCTTTGTCTGCCAGCTTAAGAACTAAAAATCATAGAATCATAGAATTGCCCAGGCCGGAAGGGACCTCCAAAGGTCATCTAGTCCGACCCCCCCGCAGTCAGCAGGGACACCCCCAACAAGACCAGGTTACCCAGGGCCTCGTAGAGCCTCCCCTTGAATATCTCCAGGGATGGGGCCTCAACCACCTCCCTGGGCAACCTGTTCCAGTGCTCCACCGCCCTCACAGTGAAGAACCCTCTCCTCATCTCCAGTCTAAATCTGTTCCCCTCCAGCTTGAAGCCATTGCCCCTCGTCCTGTCACTGCAGGCCTTTCTAAACAGGTTCTCCCTAGCCTTCCTGTAGCCCCCTTCAGGTACTATTAGGTCTCCCTGGAGCCTCCTCTTCTTCAGGCTGAACCACCTCCTTCCCTCTCATTTCAGGTTAACACCAGAGATGGAACCACCTCAGAAAAAAAACAGCTCTCAAGGACTTGGCTCAGGACACCACCACCTTTTAGACAAAACTTAAGCTTCCCCAAGCAGCTAGAAAAGATGGAAAAAAGGGGATTTGCACAACAGGAGCCCCCACAAACCCAACGAGTGAAACAGAAACACTATTTCTAGCGGCACAGCTGTTATAATGACAGGGCCAAACGCCATAGAGCATCCCCTGCCACGGAAACAGTTAGAAAAGCGTCTGGACGCTGGGTTTGGGTGGTTTTTTTTGGAGGATGAGGCTAACTCATTTTCCCCTGAGGGCCTGTGGCGCTGGGATAAACAATTAGGAACTGGGACACGCCTGGGCCCCGGGGCCTCGGCCGTTTCGTCCCCTCACCGGGACTCACCGGGCTCCAGCAGATGAGCGAGTCGGTGTCGGGATCCTCCACCAGGGTCCACAGCTTGGTGAGAAAAGCGGGGACGTTACTGCCGCCGGGGCCGGCGCCCACCGCCGCCGCGCCAGGCCCCTCCATAGCGGCGGCCTCAAGGCCCGGGGCAGGCCGCAGCGCGCCGGCGTCCCCCCTCCACCCCCCCTCACCCTCCCCGCCCTTCCCCTTCCCGGGGAAACCGCCGCCAGGTGGGGTTTAACGGCGGG